CTCTCTCGTCTCTCTCTCTCTCTCTCTCTCTCTCTCTCTCTCTCTCTCTCTCTCTCTCTCTTTTTCTTTTTTTCCATCTTAGAGCTGCTAGATAAGACAAGACAAGACAATGTGTCACGAAAAGCTGGCTGCTCGTGAACTGGACTATAGATAAATGATTTCGTAATCAGATCCAAATCCGACTAATAACGCATTTCACTATTTCTAGTTCACATCTCTCTACCTATGCTGCACGCGAAACCACCTATTCGATCTTGATGGTGAGCTTTCCAAAGTGCTTCTGCTCCCACATGTACTGGTATGCCCTGTTTCGTCGTCAGTCAGTAACTTGGTTAGGGACTCCTCGCTTAAAAATATACATATATAAATAAATACATAAAAAAAGAAAAAGGAGAAAATTTTCGGGGGGCAATCAAAAGAATTTCAAGGGGGGAAAAAACAAAAAGACTCACTCCTTCGCCTCTGCCAGCCCAAACACCTTCTCATCCACGACAGGCCTGATCCTGTTCGCCTCGATGGCGCGGTTCATCTCCTCGAACTGCACCCGGCTTCCCACGAGGAGCCCTCGGGCGATGCACCCGTTGCTCAGCACATCCAGGAAGCTGGGCTGCTCCTGCGCATGTCCCCCCAGGAAGCCGATGATCGAGATGACACCCTCGAGCTTCACGGCCTTCAGACTCTGGGCCATGGTGGTCGGCCCGCCCACCTCCAGGACGTGGTTCACGCCGGCGCCCTTGGGCGTCAGGGCGGCGGCCTTCTCGCCCCACTCGGGCTCGTCCTTGTAGTTGATGACGTGGTCGGCGCCGAGCTTCTTCAGGACGTCGGCTTTCTGAGCCGAGGACGTCGTGGCGATGACGGTTGCGCCGGCCGCCTTGGCGAATTGCACCGCGAAGATGGAGACCCCGCCGGTGCCTTGGGTCAAGACGACGTCGCCCGGCGCGAGGGGTTTGAGCCCGTAGAGCGCGTTCCATGCCGTGAGGGCTGCGCAGGAGAGGGTGGCGCCTTCCAGCCAGCTGAGAGAGGCCGGCATCTCGACGAGGCCGGCTTCGTTGAAGGTGCCGTATTGCCGGAGGGTCCCGTCGATGCTTCCGCCGAGACCGGTCGTGATCGTTTGCGAGTCGAGAGAGCCGCCAATGTGGCCTTGGTTGAAGAGCGTGACGACCTTGGAGCCGGGCTGGAAGCGGGTGACTTTGCTGCCGATTGCGATGACCTCTCCCGCTCCGTCGGAGCCGGGAACGACGCCCTTTTTACATGCGAATGGGTACATCCCTTTGCTCGTATCAGCCATGGTTTCTCTTGGTTCGACGACTGGGGGCTGGATTGCGGAGTGCTCGTCATTCTTGCTCAGTTATAGAGATAAGCTTGCTACACACCTTTGGGAATGATTAGATCGCGGTAATTTAAAGAAGCCGCGTGAAACTTGACGAGGACTTCATGGTCAGAGAGCGCTGGGATAGGCACATCTTTGGTGAACTTCAAGCTGTCAAAGCCGTCATGGCCCTCAAGCGTCCAGGCACTGGTTGTCGTCGGGATTGCTGTTGTAGACATGATGAATTAGAGCGTATGGTGCTTAACCGAGGTTGTGAATACTGCAGTTGAAAATGTCAAGAAGCAGAGGGGAACTTCTGGACCAAAGCAACCGAGCGAGATATGGCAAATAGATGTTCTGTCTTAGCTTGAGTGTCGATGATAGGAAGTTGAAGAAATGCTATCTATCTACTTATGAACATGGCAACTTGATTAATAATTGAATGGAGAAAAGATTACGAATACCTGCAGAGGTACAGCGGTTATGTGTCGTAGCCCCTCCCATTCCACAGCTACCATTTTAACCTAATTGAGCAATAACTTGACCTTAGGCACGGAGGCTGTCAAAGATGCGTGGGAAAAAGTGAGAGGATTTGAATCTAAAGCGTTAATTGAAAGCATGCTAGCTCGTTGTCAAGCTGTAATTGATGCTAGAGGTAGATCAACTAAATATTAACTGCTTTCGCTTTTAATCTTATATATAACTTAATTTGTACACCGTCGTAGTTGTTGTCGTATTTATTCACGTCGGGCGGGTAGCAGGCGAAGCCATCCGCCCTGGGACCTCCCATGGGGTACGGCGACGTGCTAAGATAAGGAGTTGCATACAAGACAGCCCTAGAACGCAGTTCAAAGTGGTGCAGCAAAAGCTACGATCATCTGCGCCCTTTTCTTGTAAGTAAGATGGATCACAATGAAAGAAGTATCTCTCGTTGAAAGAAAAGAAACCAAAGAGAGAGGAAGGCAGGCGCAGACTGCCGTGGCCATCGTAATAGCATGGCTACGCTCGAGTCGCGAGACGATTAGGATCGAGGCCGGACCGGAGTCAGCCGTAAGTGCATATAATAGCGCTAGGAAGAGAAAAGGAAAGAGATAGAGAAGGTGCTCGTAACCATGACCAAAAGCAGAACAAAACTCCAAAAACAGTCCATCTATATCGTACAACAGCGTCAAAACAAGTTCCCTCAGGAAA